TCAGGGCATGGGCTGGGCTCAGCTGAGCCAGCCGTGCCTAAACCAAACACCTGGCCTTCCCGCCGAACTATCGAACCTCAGGAACTGTCTCCATGAATGCCAGTGCTTTCCATTTTTAGTTTCTGCTAAAAGACACAGAGAGTGTATCTGCATCTGAGGGGCATGCTGGCGAGTGGCACCGTTCAGATGCGTCCCAGATCCTCTTGGGTTCAGGCATGTGCACAGTCCTCTCGACCTGACCGCGTAGTTGAGCACGCTCGATTTCTAGCCACCACTCTTGTATCTTACAGACAATGCCAGCGTGTGTTAAATCCACGCACAAACCCGCCTCTAGATGGCTGTGGGGAAGGAAGAGTACCTCCGTGCCCCCGTTGATAACTGTGTGACTGCCACCTGCCTCCAGCTGAAATAGTGAACAAGCTCATGGTATGGGCATGCAGTAACTAATAGTAAGTTATAACCCTTTTGTTGGTCATACACCCGAGTTGTCAATAGTAAACGCACATTTACAGTGCAGCTATAGGGAAAGCAAGCCTGTCTTGAGTCAATGTTTCTGTCTCTCTGCTCCTGGGGCTGTTCTTGACTTGGCACAACTCTTGTCTGTGACAGGTATCGCATAGCCGCGACCCCAAGGCCCGGCTTCATGCTGTGCTCACCCGGGGTGCGGGAGAGCCGGTGCAAGGAATTACAGTCAAGGGGCTGGTGAGTCTCATCTCGGAGACCTCCCCGCATGGCCGGGGGCTGGAGGCCCCGTTGGGAGACAAGGGAGGTCTCTGGAGACCCCCAGGAGCTGGTTTGTGACCATTAGACATAATTTACTCCTTCACTATCAGTGTATTCTGCCTAGCCAGGGCCAGCGTCCTCTGCCAAGCCTCTGCTGGTGGCTCCTGGGTGCAGCCAGTGCCGGTGGAGCCTCCTCTCCCCACGGCCCCCCAGGCAGATGATACCTGTCCAGGGCCATGGCGGGCAGGCGGGAACGGCTCTTCTCTTTGTGTTAGTGCCCCGTGTCCTGTTACAGCGCCGAAGCCCGTCTTGGGTTACGGGGGGCAGTGTCAAGTGACTGTGCCTCGCAGGCTGCCGCTGCTCAGCACCACGTTTCTCCAGCCTCACTCGTGCTACTGGCAGTTTCTCTTGCTCCAAAATCCTTTTTCCAGCCCTGTACCCTGACAGGTTTTGGGCTGATGCCCAGAAATGAGTGTGTCAAGGTTGGGGTGGGCAGGTTGGAGCCAAGCGGTTGGGTCTTGCGGGTTTGGATGCGAGACGAGCGCTGCCCTCCTGCCAGGCTGGTGTCTCGCACCTCTGCGGTGCATCTCCACCTCCCACCTCTCTGCTCTGCGGCCCTGCGGGTTTCGGGTCTGCCAGGCACTTCTGTGCCCCAGCACTTGACGTGAGGGGCAAAGACACCCAAAGGAGCTGGCGAGGGGCGCTGGAAAGCAGCTGAGTGCCGCAGGGACAGACACGGTAGCCAAACAGAAACAGGCTGCTCTGAAGGCTGCTGCAGAGCCATTTCCCTTCCCACAGCCTCACAAGAAATCCACTGTAAGCATTAAACTGCCCTTGACTCTATGCAGCTTCTCATGGGTACGCTGCCTAATCCGTCCCGAGAGCCAGCGCTGTCTGATCAGCCGTGAAAGCAGCTTAGGTGAACGCCTGCAGAATCCCCCTGGGTGTCACCACAGAAAGGGGTGGCAGAAGCCTGCGGTGGGAAGCACTCTGCACAAACACTTCCTTCCAGCCCTTCCCTTGGCCTCTGCCGGTGCCACACTGGTTTCTCCTCCGCAGGCTTTCATCTAGGCTCAGAACAGACCCCAGTAAGCGGAGAAGCAGCTTAATTTATTTATGGTATGCATTAACATTTATTCAGCTCGTTGCTGTGCATTGAGTAAGGTGGCAACTTGATAGGTGCCAGCCATTCCCCCTGCTGCCGGTGGAGCTGGGGCTCCAGCCACAGACTCTTCCAGAACGTGGAGCTGAGCAAATGTGATGACGGTTTGCTAAGGGGGGGAGGAGAGGATGAGTATCCTGCTCGCATGACAGCCGGGAAGCTCCACCAAGGGCAGCTGAGCATCTACAAAGTGTATCCAACTCGGATCAACTCTGATAGGGATTGAGCTGGGGGAAGATATCTCAGGGCTTTAAGGCAATTTCTTTGCAGAATTCCCTGGTGACCTTCCCTCCCCATCACCAGCCGCAAGGCTGTCCCCTGTGCGGACCTGCGTGGCCCTGTGAGTTTCACACCATGACCTTGAACCCCCCCTGAACAGATTCCCCCCACCTCTGTCATCCGGCCGGCTTTGTGCACAGCCTGGAGCTGCTGCTCTGCCTCAGCCTCACCATGATGCTTTCAAATATCACTCTCTAGCATCTCACCCGGGGTGGCTTTAATACCTCCCTGTTGATACTGGGACCCCAGATAGCACTCGTGTCCCTGGCACCCCTCTCGTCTCAGGCCAGTAAGGAAGGCTCAGGCTGGGTTAGCATTTAGAGCCCAAGTACCTGAGCTAATGGTTCAGTACATGCCCTCCTTCCTCCCATACCTGCTTTGTGGTGAGAGGCACTCTGTTGTAGAAAAAACATCTTAAGAAAGCTAAAACCAAGGCCTCGTTCACCTAGGAATAATATTTAGACATCTGCGTGCATTGGAGCATCTGCGTACGTTACCTAGCGAGCTTTAAATGCAGCAGATGTCTGTGTGCTGTAAATTTGGGAGTCGTTGCACTCGTTTCTTTGGAGACCTGGCGGCATACACAGGCTGAGGGTCCAGCCTGATTACACTGGAGAAAAATGGAGATATGAAAAGTCTTGTAAGCTCTGAATGTCCCTTAGCAGCATCGTAATCAAATAATCAAGGCCAGCTCAGCTTGATGTGATTTGTTTCATTATGAAACGTAATTCTCCCTGGAATTTTAGTTCTTGCCTGCCCTCCACCCCCAAATGTGCCAGCTCACAGCAGAAATTCATGTTAGGGGAGGGAGGAGCCGAGTGCGAAGGGGACCCAGACATTTAAATATTGGTCTAACACATGCTGAGTGTCCTTTGATAAAGGCATGCTGAATTAACAGGGCGGTTTCAAGTTCTGCCAGGCAAAAACCCTGTGGATGTACTCGCGCAGTGCTGGGCTGCGCCAGCCAACAGCCGCTGGTGTATGCAGTAAATTCTTTCAAACCTCATACTGCGCTTCAGAGGCAGCAGGGAAATAATGGGCAGCGGATTTACTCCTCTTGAGGATTTGGCCCATGGACTTACGGTCCTCATTTAGCGTTTGCTGGAATGTGGTCGGAGAGGTCCCATCCCTGGTGAAATTTGCTTTTGGGGTGTGTCCATGCAAAAAAAAAATTAAAAGGTGTAGCTCGGTGTTGAAAATGACTTATTTGAGAAACTGTGTTTGTTTTAAAGGCAGTTTGCAGCCTTTCCCTTTGCTAGCTTTTGCGGTGGAGGATTACGGGGTAGTCCCTACTCGCCATGCCGAGGCACCAAGGCAGCTTTGCGCTCACACTGAGATCCCACCCTGAAACCCTGATAATTCGGAGCCCTGGGTGCCTCCATCCGTGGGTGCTAACCTGCGCATCTGCCCTGCTTCCAACACAGTTGTCAGCTCTCGTTTTCATTTTTCCAGGTCTCTGTACAGCTCTCTATTTACCTTGCAACTATAATCTTTCTGCCCCCAATCAGATCTGCAGCAGTTTTCAGTGCACAGCCGAAGAAACGATGCCCTTAGAGGTAGGAGCTCATCTGAACTAGCAGTCCTGTGTGCAAAGTAGAGCAGCACCCAAACATTTCCGCGCCTCATCCTCTTGCTTCTTCCTGGGCTTATCCCGTGTCCTTTCGTCTCCAGACAAGCGACTGACAAGTGTCTGGAGGCTCAAGCCTCCACTTGGCACCTGCCCATCGTGCGGCATCGAGGCCACAAATAGCCCTGGCCAGTAACACCAAATTTTTGTCCTGCCTTTACTCCCATGTTTCACTACTTTGCAGCTAATCGGAGTTAACAATGACTTTAATACTTCATCCACAAGGTACAGCCCCAGCCTTCCCACCAGCACCCACTTCTCCCCAGGCCAAGACGGGTCACTCGTGGTACGCTGCTCCAGGCCACTCCACACTGATAAACCTCCAGGCAAAACCGTTCAGCAACCGAAGTCACTTCCCAGGTACAAGCACAGCTGCCCTCACCTCGTAACCGCAAAGGGAGATTTCTGATCAAATATAAACTCTCCAACAAGGGGCACGCACAGCCTGTTCGTATCCAATGAAAGCATCAACCAGGCAAATTGACAGCTCTCAGATGGGAGTTTGCAGGCTTGGACTCCCTGAAAGCTGCTCGTGTTCCCCCAGACAAACCCCCATCTTTTTATCCAGGGAGTAACTGAGGGAGGTGACTTCTCACACGACTTTCTGCTTGTCCTGCCTACCCCACGGGCCAAGTCTTCACCTGGGATATGTTAAGAGAGCTGCTAAGATCAGGAATAACTGTCATTGGTACCCAAGTTTTCTGTACTGCTCTTCACCTGGTGACTCACTGGCTCCTCTGGAGCTGGAGTGGTTTATAAACAAGCTGCAGATCAGGCTCCGCACAAGCACCATCCTGCCAATTCCCTCTGCTTCCCCAGAGCCAAAGGGCACTGAGTTTTCATGGTTCACTGAGTAGTTAAAAGAGGATAATCATTAACCTGCTGAGGACAGTCTTTCTTTTGTTAGGCCCTTTATCGGGTTATCTTGCTAACATAACTGGAGAGGATCTGGGTGATGGGAGGGGGCGAGGGGAAGCAATGTTCTGCATAGCTTGTCTGTTCTCACAAAAACACAGCTCTCCCCAGGGCGGGAGGCGGTGGCACAGGGGTAGGGTGCATTTTGCTGCCATGTCAGGCCAGCCTGTTTTGTATGGAGGTCTGGATTCACCTGGCTTTGAGTCCCAACCTGAAACTCGCCAACAGCCGCGTCCAGGTCTCCAGAGATGCCTTTGCTATAGGAAACTTAGATGTGTCTGTGGCACGACTTACCGTACAGGTCCTTTGCACTCAGCTTGGAGGCTCCGTCCGCTCTGCCCATGCTGCCACTGTAAAAGAAGGAAGGTACAAATAAGTCGTCAGCTCCCAGATGTTTTTAACATCTGCTTTCGCACTGCAGCTCGCACGATAATCGGTGCAGCAGCCCTGCGGCTCTCCCGAGAGGGACCAGCCCTGCCATCCTCATCACGTCCGTCAGACATGGAATGACTCCAAATTACCAGGCAAAGCGTTTGCTTGTGCCGGCGCAAAAAAATTAAGATCCCTTATGAATGGACCCTGTTGAGATGTACTCCTTGAAGGCAGGTGCTCAGATGTGGAACATATCCCATGTCAAAATGTGGAAGGATGTAATTGTGTGTAAACGTTTGAGTTCTGGGATGTCAGGTCTCCAGGCATGGGTTACATCCCCCGTAGGGCCACCCTCCCGTTCCTGGGTTGTGCGTAGGAGTGCACAGCCAGGAGATAATTGTGTTTTCTCCGGCTCAGGCCTGGCAGGGGAGGATCCAAGCGGGACCTCAGGGTTTCAGGCGCTGTGGTCAGGCTGTCCTGCATGATGCAGTGAGCCAGGGGGTGGCCGATGGCTCCTTTCTGCTCTGTCACCATGTCCCCTGAGGGCAGGCGGTGGTACGTGGTGCTCATACACCTACACCCTGCTCTCACCAGGAAGGAGGGGGAGAGCTGGTGGCTCTGGCTTCATCGGGAAGGTGCCACGGGCTGCCGTAGCCCCCAAGCCGCAGGTGGAGAGGCTCCTGGTGTTCATCTCCCCGCATCTAATGTGGCATTACCGAGCCACAGCGTGCAGGGCACGTCAGGGGTGAGGCGGGGATGCTGGCTACGGCCACAGCTTGTCAGGTGCCCAGGAAGGCTGAAACAAGCACCAGGGACTTGGGGGGAAATGGGACCCCTCAGAGCATCCCTCTGGGTGGTAGGAAGGAGTGGTGGTGCCAGCTGCGAGACGGAGGAAGCCCACCACGGAGATCCTTACTTTGATGAGCCAGGGTTGCTGCTGAGGGATCCCTTGAGACTCATGTCGCTTCGCAGGACGGGCAACTGCAGGAAGCAGAGGAGACAGGGTTAGCAATGAGAAAACCTGCTATCAGGTGATTTATCTGTGTGCGTGCTCTGACTTGGGGTCTCCAAGCAGCAGGGTGGGCAGATGCGAGCAGTCAGGTTAGCACGGCCAGGTTTCCTTGCCGCTCTCTGCCTCGTGGCTCAGATGCCTCTCACAGCTCTGCCCTGGGCTGAAGATGACACATCCCAGGATGCCTTTCCGAAACCTGTTTCCCCCCCTCCTCTCTCGCCCGTCCCTTCCCGGCACACCCTGACTTTGTGGTATTTCAGCACGTCTTTTTCTAGCAAAGCAGCCCTGCCTACAGTTTAGTAGGGACCGATGTGGCCTTTGCCTTTATGGTCTGTCAGAAGCCATTAAAAACACGCGGATCCCTGTGGCCACGTACTCATGACTGTAAATGTCCTGAGTCATTTTTCATGCCCGTAGTGCCATTGTCTTTTGTTATGTGGCAATTTTAAGCTCTGTACCAGCTGTTAAACTATCCTTACCACAGTATTGCCCGTGTAGAGAAAAGTGAGATAATTGTGAGTGCTGCTTCCCTGGCAGCATAAGGATGGAGAAAAATGTACTGTGATGGCTAAGTGCCTGCTGAGAGGCAGGCAGGCTCAGTTAACAGATTTTTTTCCCTCCTCTTTCAGATGAGAATTATAAATAATGTGAGAAAAGATGTGAGAGAGATCCAGGCACTGTTCTGAGAGCAGAATGGCAAGGGAGGAAAAAAAAAAGGAGGGAAAACAAGGTATAATAAAACTTCAGGGGACACTTTGTATTGGCATCCCAGATGTTCACCTCTGCTCTAGTGCCTGAGTTGAAGGAAAGCCAAGACAAAGTCTTTGAAGTTTTTTATTCAGTGCTGAAAAGCTCAGGGGGCAGCTGCCTGCGCGCTGGGCACTCAGCCCTCTGCTTCGCCTGGGTCCGACCCCACGCACCTCACTCTAAGGTGGTCAGAATTCAAAGGTATGGCTTTAAAATACTCGTCCTTGGCCTGAAGGAAGAAATCAATCAGTGTCTTCAGTGGGATTTCCTGCGAGGGGACCTTTGAACGTGCTTGGTGTGTGCCGCGGGGCTGCTGTGACAGCCATCCCTGGCAGGCAGCAGAGCTGCCTCGCAAAGGATTTTCTTAACGGAGCTTAGGCTGAATTGTGTGTGATCCCGGGGGAATGCTTTGGAGTCATCCCTGGCACCTGGGATTTCCCCTCTGGAGGCTGACTATCTCTGCTGCAGGGCTTGCTGTATCATCAGCACAGCTGCCCTAGATTCCTTACGTATGTGTTTTTATTCCTCGTGTTGGAAACGCTCGTTCGTGCTATTTTGCTCGGTGTGTTTCACCCTGAGGTGAGGGCAGATGCAGAGTTTTCTCCCTGCTGGTAACAAAACTGCTCATCGGTCGCAGGGGTATATTTTGTGGAGATCCAGCTCTCCGTGCAAAGCACACGGCTTGTGTGATGCTGCACGACACGACGGCATCCCGCTGACAGCATTGCACAGCCACACACGCGCGTGTACACACGGACCATATGGGGGACCCCGGCACGTTTTGGGCTCAGCCTTACGGCTTTCAGCCGGCTTTGTGCCACAGTAATACTCCTCAGCACTGAGACGCTGCTAGAAATGACTTTGAAGTGCGTTTTGTAGATAGTATACTAAATTCTCCCTTTTTCATCTCTTCTGTGGTTGATACTAAAGCCCATGCGCACACACGCAGATATAAATTCATATACATGTTAGAATAGAAACTTGGTGTTCTGCCAGCCCCCCTGAGTGTAATAAAACCCGTCCCTGTGCCCAAGATTGGGTACCTGTGAATTTTTCCTCTGTTAATAGCTGTCTGCTGGTTTCCTTTTACAGGCCTCAAACTGTTGCTATCTCCTGGATCTCTGTGTGCATTAGCATAAGATACCTAGAAAAGGGAACGTGCTCTAATAAACCCGGCTCTGGTCTGTTTACTTTACACCATCTGATCACTTTAGTCCTGTGGCTGATGATCATAGGAATGTTTCTGCATGTTAATGTAATATTTCTGGCTCCCTTTCACTTACTGCCCCAGGGCTGTGTCCTTAATGGACTGAAATCCAGGTTACTCCAGCGCGTAAGCGGCGCCGAGTTTGGCCTGTAGAGTTCAGAGCTTGCTCGCAGGCCGCGGCCGTGAAACAGCCGGAGGAACTGGGGACGCAGCCAAGGTCACCCTAGTTTTTGTTTCTCCTTCGTGAGCTTTGACCAAAAGGCTAACTCTGGGGATCTGCTCCTGCTGCTAGAGGAACCCGTCTGGTCGAACGCTGTCTGGCTGCCGGAGGAGCGGACCCCGTGGCAACGGCAGAGGTTGCTGCTCAGCTTCGTGCGTGAGGTGGGACCAGCCACAAAATGAGCCAATTCTTTGTCTCGTGGTAGTTAATAAAAGGACTGGCGGGATAAGCTGGGCTCCCTACCATGTACTTGGACTAGTGGAAACACCACTGGACCCTGCAGGCATCCCAATGACTTGTGAACGTGCTGCTGGAAATGTGCAGTGGGAACACCCACCTCCCACGAAACGGCAGAAAAATTTTGTGCTGCTCGCCGTCCCATTTACACCCTGATGCTCCAAAAGTCTTCCACCTGGCCGAGCGGAAGCTGTAATGCGTTAGCACTGCTGACGTTTCAGCGAGGGGCTGATTATGAATCGCTCCTTCCAACACGTCCGATGGAGCGATCCCTGGTTTGTAACGCAGTAAACCCCAGCGTCCCCCCTGCCTTCGCCCAGCGCCATCGGAAGGTCGTCCTCCCTCCCGGGGTGCCTGCATCCCAACGAGGCCGTGACACTGGAGGCCATGCGAGCGCCTGCCAAGTCAGCAGGTCCTTATCCTGCCGGGCTCCCTTCTTTTTATTTATTCATGCTATTTTCATTGTTTAACCTTTGCCTAGCTCTTACCGCTGCATTAAGGGCCATGTCTGTGTTCAAACGTGTTAATCGAAATGAGGGTGTGGTGTGATGCTGGCCAAGTTAAAGCAGGACAGAGCCTCATGCCAGAGCTTTTAATTAATTCAGTTTAAATTGCCTGATATTAATTGAATCCTAGCTGGCAGACTGGGGCGGGGGGCACATTCCTGAGGGGTTGGAGACTTTATAATGATTTTGCTAAATCGAGAGACAACTGGACTTGAATAAGCCGAAGAAGGGGCTGAGAGTACTTCACCTCCAAATGTGGATGGAGCCAAAGATAAGACGGGAGAGAGGAGGTGAGGCCGTGGCCGAGCGGCTGGCTTTCCCCAGGTTCCCCCACCCCACACCCCGTGGGGGCATCTCTAAGAGCTCCGACGGTCTGCAACCTCTGACGTGCGCGTTGTCTTCTCCCCGCTGTCGTTTCAGCTGCGGCTCACGCTTCCCCGATTCGAGGGTTCCTGATCTCCCTCTTATCTCCCTGCAGGGTGCGGCTGCTTTCTCCTCCTTCCCCAGCGGGGCGAGCACGCGTGGGAAGGGAAGCGAGAGGCAAATTTAGCCGTGCAGGGGTTGCCTTTGACTCAGCCTTACCAAATCCAGTTTGGAGACCATTACCCACTCTTTGGATGGTGCAGGGCAGTGTTTCTCTGTGGCTGGCCAAGCAAGCCAGCTAAGCCTTGCACCCGAGGGTGGTTGTTTAACAGGATGGGGGCTCCAGCAGCTAAGCCAGGCTCAAATTCCGGTCGTGGGGACAGACAGCAGTGCTACGCTTCTGCTGGGGGGACTTACGGGGAAGCTTTAACTGCCTGGCTAAAGCTTGGCACCGTGACCTGTCCCAGGCCAGGAGATCTCATGATCTGAAACAGAGGGCCTTAGGGAGGCCAGCAGAAGTCAGCGCTGAAGGACATGGAGGTGGGTGAAGTCATATTGTACTTTAAAGCAAAGGAAATCTCGCTCCCTGACTTTCCGGGCAGCCTTATCCTTGGAGGTCAAATATCCTCCTGAAGACGCACAGAGTCATGATAGGAGCCTGACGTTGTTGTCTCTGCTAATTTTCCGTACTTTTATAGCAAATGGAAGCGGGCCATACATTGTTTTGACTTTCTTTGAGTCTCTTTGAAGAGGGAGCTGCAACGTTGCAAGGGTGGAGAAGCTGTATGGGAGGGGAAAGAATAATGGCTCTCTCTTCTCTTTGGGCTGATTGCTGCTATTGTCGTCCATTATTTTTATTAGGTGTACTTCTCCCTCGTCTGCTGTGGTCATACAGTTTTGTTCTTACAGCGCGTGGAAAGGGATTGTGAGAATTTCTGGACTTTGGGTGAAAATTGGACAACCTGAAAATGTTAAATACTAGTGTCTGTTTTAGGGCAATTATTATTATTATCATCACTGTTAATAGCAGCATCTAGTGTCTGTGAGTGTTTTCCATCATGGGTCTAAGAGTACCTTCAAGAGTGTGATCAGGTAGAGTGGGCTGGAGAAACTTTGTTGGTATCAGAGGCTGTTAGAATACGTGATTGTAGCAGCAGCAAAATGCTGAGCAAAACACAACTTTTGCTGGAACAACAGTAGAAAAGTATGGCATAAACCCCAAAATCTTAAAAATTGACAAGTCACCTAGAAGTAATAGTACGGTTTTCCTAGCACGGTCTAACCTGTTTCTAACAGATCTTGTCTTTGTTTCCATCGGTCATCCCCCTGAAATCTGCGCGGTGTGACAGGACTTCCAAATTCCCCACAAGCTAGTACTGAAACACGTTCTCCTACCTGGAGCTGTGGTAGCGCTACTGATAGTTTAACCGATGTGTCACAGAAAGGGGTTAAATAAGGTTTGATGTCTGCAGCCTAAAGCGTTTCTTGACTGGGTTGGACCCCCTGGAATGATGCCAACCTGCAAAGTGGTCCTTTACGCCCCATCAAGTCAACCCAAAGGTGGTGGTGGGGAACGGCTTCACTGAAGCGCTCGAGGACGTGGCGAGGGAAGTGTCTGCACCAAGGAGGTGACGGGGTTTGGGCACTGGTGAAATCCATGTGATGGAAACGCTGCCGGGGGTGCTGCCT